AACAAGCTCTCCGAACCACAACCTGTAAGTATGATTGATACGTTATGTGTACATTTTCAATTGAGTGCTCAAAATATAAATTTTTTTGTGCTAATATGTGATGTATACCTAGTGCAACTTTAGGTTTCCAGGTAAAGCACGATATTACTGTCTTACTGAAGTAGTTCAGATAATTCGCTGTGAACCCACTATTTCCTAAGAATGTGTCGATTCATGTAGACTGATGTTGTTCTAATGTATTTTATGTCATTATTATAAGAACGGATTGGAGCACTATATTATTGTTTTATGCAAAGGTGCTTTGTCAATGGTAGCGCTCGCTAACTTGCTCAAGGACTCCTCTCTCTGCCAATCACAGCAGGCTTGGCCAGCTGACCAATCAGAGCAGAGTAGGCTTATGGAAGGGAGGGGTTTGCTCCGAACTTGCTTGGAACGAACCGTTTAGAAATCATTGGCAAATGACTCTAATATTAAATGTATATTCTGAGAAAATTACAATGTTTTCTGACCTTAGATGCATTTAAACCTGTTGTAGGGGACTTCAACACAATATTAGGACACTTTAAAATATCATATGACCTGCTCTTTAAAGCTGGGACTCTAAATAGTGTTCTGTGCTCGTCCGTGCAGCCAAAGACAGAACAGTTAGCATTCTTTGCTCAAACTTTCACCATGGCATTAGAACTGGTACACCGTTGTCACTTGCGAAAACTTAGTTTAGTACTCGCATGCCGTGTGACAGCCGCTTTCTGTGCGTGTGCTTCAGATGTGTGCTCTCAGAAAAACGTATATAAGAAGTTTAAACTAATATGGTTTAAAATGCATGATTTCAGCACGATAGACATGATAATCAAAACCAAACAGATGTTTTTTTGACAGAGTATCTGAGGTAAGAGCTGTAAAGGCACAGCCCTTTTCTAGAAAAGGGGGCGGGGAGCAGCAGCTCATTTGCATTTAAATAGACATGCACAAAAACAGCGTGTTTCTGCTTCCACTCAGAATTCCACTAGGCATTTTCAAAATGATATAAATGATCTGTGGGGCATTTTGAGCTGAAACTTCACAGACACATTCTGGGGACACCTGATTCCAACTAGTACTTAAAAAAGGGGCATGATAGGTCTCCTTTAAGGACTATGAAAGGGCAACCTATAAGTATGACTTTCTCTGAATTCACATCTGAGCCTGATTCTGCTCAAATATGAGCATAGTCTGAGACACAGTTGAGATGTCTTCTAAAACCCTCAAAGTAACAGAGTCTGCATCTCTCCATTTATTCACCATTTAATCACAATCCAGTCTAGGAGAAACATTTGAAATATCAAAGAGATGTCATCTGTGATTTTTCTTTCTTGCTGGTGATAAGAACACTATGGCATTTTTTACTAGGTACAGTTTGTTAGGACAAGCTCTACAATGAGTGTCCTGAGAATCTGATCTGCTTTGTATATGATTTGTTATTGTATGTGTTTACAGTATGTGTGTGTGTGTGTCTTTATTTGGCAGTTTTGGTATATTATTGAAGTGCAGTATGCTGCAGAGATAACTTACATAACACGGTCTCCTCAGGCAAATGCACTGCACTCACACATACACACACACACACACACGCACAATGCCGACTCCACAAGCATTCACTTGCACGTGATAAATGCACACACACACTCACGAGAAAAGAAATATGCATGACTCGTGCAAAGCCAGACATGTGCATGCAATTATTTTGTGCATGCATTTGCACATATTTTTTCAAAAAGACTAGAAAATAGGAAAATAAATCTCTTTAATGTCTCAATTGTTTCTCCTAATGAAAACAGAGAGAGAAAATGTAGACTTAAGGCTCTTGCTTCTCTTATTGTTCTACTGAGAAATAGACCCCAGTAATCTCACATTTCTTTTAAAGTTTCAGA